TAGATGGGACTAGGAGTCAAAGAGGATTCTGGGAAATGTAGTAGAGAAGTGGTGATCCAGGCAGGAAGTGACATAGAAAGGAGACTTATATGTAAGCAAAGGAGAAACAGGAAGGGTCCCTTTTCCTGTTCGCCTCCTCCAGCGGCAGGATGTGAGCCACCGGCAAGGAGGGACGCCAATAAGGCGTCCGATAAGATTAGTCTTATAACATATATAGATTTATGATAATTAAGACTGAGCTAGCAGATGAGAAGTCCTAGTCATTGGCCAAGCAGCATTGTACCTAATACAAGTTTCTGTGTATTCATTTGGGCCCTAACTCGGGTGGCTGGCGTAAAGCTCACACATTGTGGTGGGGCTCAGGAGGCTTTTGGCGGAAAGATTTATCGTAACACAACACAGCCTATCTCAATGGGTGTCAGTAAGCTGCATCTGGCTGCCAGTAATCCAGTTACCAATTGCTCTCCACATAAGCTCATGAGCACACAGATTGTTTCTTAGACATATTCTATATATACACACAATCTGTGGGGTCAGTTTCCATGGACCTAGCTGTCAAATGTCAAGCTACCACATTTCCCATGTGGAACCTAGTTAATATTTAGGGCTACAATATCCTAAGCTCACCACTCAAGACTAAGTTCCTTGAAGCTAGACATTTGGGCACATCTGGCAGATGACTGGGATTTCTGTCTTTGTGATAAACTCATGGGGGGAAATGAGAAAAGCAAACAAATGCTGTCTGTAGATTTTCTGTGGGGTGCTAAAGGAACCAACCCTCAGTTGCACTAGAGCCAGCAAGAGCCACTGAGCAGGATTAAGTGCCATGCCGGCAGTCTCTGCAGGCCTCTGCATGGCTAGCTGTGGTGGTGTGAGGGCAAAGAACCCTCTGAGGAGTCTAAAAACAGGAGGGGCTCCTGACTATACTGAAAGTTCCTCAACTGTGAAATGAGTTCAGGCAACTTACAAAACCTACAGCAAGAAGCCCTTTCTTTTTTCCTTCTCTATATAGAGACCCAAAGCACAAAAGGGTGGTGCACCTGTTCTTGGACCTGCATCACCTTTGCATGAAGGAAAGTCAGTGGATGCCATAGCTGGTGCTAACAGTGATCAGATTAGCACAGAATTTAATCAAGTCACAGCAGAACTTCCAAGACCAGTGTTAAGGGCTGTGACAACCCATGGCCCACTTTAACAATAGAACATGTATAAGTTTCTAGAAAGAACAGGAAGCTACTCTTTATTGACGCAACAGCTGAACACAAGCAAATACAGAGTCAACAGGACTCACCACTGTGCCCCAGCACAGGTGTGTTCCATATATGCCCACATTTTACAGAATGCATGATTCTTGCTTTATTAATTTAAATGGTTTATTTTATTTGAAACAGAATCTAACATCAGATTTAAAGTCTTAGTCATTGATTAAGCATAGAAGGAACTACTCAAAATGACTTCACACCACAAGAGGTACTGAATAGCTCCTGGGGGAAGGATGCTAACTAACTAAACTTCATACATCTGTGGTAAGGGCTGGTTGCTTCCGATGAGCAATTGCACATGATATGCTAAGTCTCCTTGTCCTTGATTATGCCATTCTCCCTTCTATTTGTCTCTGTGTCCTTCACTCTCTCTGGTACCCATTCATCTGATCCCTCATCTCTCCATCCTTTGTAACTCTCTGTCCTTTCCCATCCTCCTGTCTCTCCACCCCACCACCCTCCTGACCCTTCATCTCCATATTCCCTCTTTCTGTATCTGCCAGCCTACTGTTTCTAACCTTCCCAGTAGGTTCCTCTGTCTCTCTGCTCTTCCCATTAGAAGCTCCCTTTTGTTTCTCTGTGCTATTATTGGTTTTCAAGAGAGGACTCTGTACCTGCCCCTTTCCAAGGCTGCTTTCCACTGTAACTGTCTTCCTCTTACCAGGTTTCTTTTCACCTGAACGTTGTATGTTAACGGTGATATCTTTCATGTGGATACCTTGTGTGAGCTTCTTTATTTTAGAATCATAGAGAGAGAATTCCAAATCCCACGACCTGTTGCACTTTATAGTTTGTATTCGTTCTTTAAAATAATTCAGCTCCCGTCTTACCGAGGGAGCAATTTTGAAGTAGAACGTCAGCCCCAAGCTCAAAGTGCCCTCTATTTTCAACATGTCAAACAAGAACTGCAAACTGAGAGTCATATCTTCATATTTCTCCTGCTCCAGTAGCTTTGCTACTTCTCTGCGTGTTGCCTCCCCCTGCTGATTCTGGTCCTCCTTCACAAGGAAGGACATGGCATAGAAAAATTCCTGGAAGCTGATATGTCGAAAGCTGTAGAGTTTCTTGATGCTAAACCCCTCTCGGTAGTCGATGCTGTTCAGAAAGGCAGTGAGGCTGGGACCATCTAAACTGTGCTTTCTTAGGATATTTTCTTCAAATAGCAGCCTCTGGTGCTGGATCCCCTCAGCTGCCAAGGAGCACAGACTTCTCAGCACCCTGTGACGGGTGAGCCCAGAGCTGTCCTCATTGCCATCAGTGGGCAGAAAGGTGGACACATAAGCAGTGAAGATATCTGTACTATTGCTAGGTGTCTCTGAGACTTCCTGGCCTCTTGCCATCTTCCTCTCCAGCCAGGAGCAGACCACCCAGCAAATTCCCGGAACCTGGCATGCTTTGTAAAGAACATCATTGTTTTGCACAAACTCGAGGGTATTTCTTGCTTGCTCCTTATCCATAAAATAGGAGTTGAAATAATTCTCCCTCTCCTGCTCAGAGAAGCCTAAGACATGGACATGTCGCCTTTCACCCAGCATTGGCTCCAGACTCTGCAAAGCCGGAGGCCGAGTGGTGATGATAAGAGAGCATGGTACCTCCCTCCTCCTAATTAGAATGTGTAGTACACTCTCTGCACGACTGGACTTCTGCAACTCGTCATAGCCATCCAAGATGAACAGGAGTCGCTCAGGCTGCCTCAGAATCTCTGTGACTGGGGCTTGGTTATCTCCACAACACCAGCAGATGAGGTTGGGCAGGTCACACTTGGGCAGCAGGACCACGTCTCTGCAGCTCACATAGAAAACATAATCAAACTGGCCTGGGTACAGGATCCCTTTGGCCCAGTCTTGTACCAGTCTTTTTACCAGTGTTGTCTTACCGATGCCTGCAGATCCTTGCATCACTACTATGGGCAGGGTTGAGTAGGACTCTGCCTCCGGAGTAAATAAAGCCTCCACACTGACAGGACCCAACTCCTGTTGCAGGTCCGAACAGGGAGGCGATCCGGGACTCCCTGGACTGGATGTGGCCACCATGAGCAGCTCATTGCGACTGCTGTTAACACCCCAGTCTTGCCTCTCCTCCAAGCAGCGCACATGCTCCCGGTAGATTTCTCTGTAATCTGAATAACACAAATGGGGTTTCAGAACGGGAACAACAAAAGGCAAAACAACCCTTCAAACTTTGAGTTTGCTCCTTTTTTTTTTTTTTTTTTGGTTTATCTTTCTTTTTTCTTCTTCCATTTTTAAAATTTATTTATTTTACATACCAACTGCAGTTCCCTCCCCCCACCTCCCATTTACACCAACCCCCCATCCACTCCTCCTGTCTCCATTCAAAAGGGGTAAGGCCTCCGGAATTTGCTCTTTAGTCTCCTCTCTTGCCCTTTCTAACTTGTGTTGCTTTGAAGTTTATAGTTGTGACTTCATGAGGTGAAACTAGTGTGTGTGTAATCTGTGCAGGCATGTTTGAATGTGAGTGGATTTGTATCTACACACGGCCGTGAGAATGTGCTGACAGTGTGCATTGTGTGGGGGAAAGGGGTGTGTATACCTCAATGTCAGTGTGTGTGACAATGTGCAAGTTCCTGAGAAGTCCTGTGAAATTTCCTCATGGGGCAAGGTGAGGACAGAGAAAGGAGAGAGAAGGGAAGCTGAAAGCTGGTGCAGGAACAGAAATCTGTTCCTGGCAAGGAGCCGGTCAGAGCTTAACCCAACAGCTGAACAAAAACAAGCAAGCCAGCAAACAAACCCATGGATTCTGCTCTTTGAACTAAGGTTCCTATGCCTGTGTTACAAGCCCCTTACTGACTGAACAATCAACCCAGCTTGTCTACTCCCATTTCTGCAGCGCAGGAGCTCTCCGGAATGAAAGGAAACTGGGAAAGATCACAGGTGCTAACAGAGCCTCCACAATCCCCCCCCCCTCCTCCCCCCCCGCCAAAAAAAGAACAGGTGTCTATTTATACTCCACTGCTCTCTAGGTTCACATTAGCCCACCATAAACAGATTAGCCACTGCTCCATCTAGGAGCCCTTTCTGCATCCCCCTCCTCTTCTCCAGAACAGCAACTACAATTAGGAGGTGGGGTGCTCTAGTCATAAACCCCTGCCTTCAGCTCAGGGTCTGCAACTAACATTCTTCAGACCACTTGTCTGAAGACCCCGGGGGCTCTGGGGTCCCCAGTAAGGAGAGGGCAGCATAAAGGTGTAAATTACAGACTGTTAGAGTCTGTGGGGTCTGGTGATGCCTTTGGTGACGCCCTCACTCCCCTCTCTCAGGCTGCACTCACCATGCAGACAAACCTGGCTGAGGTAGTTGACAAGCTCCATCAAGTTCATGGCCTGCAAGCTCCTGCTCACCACTCTCACGGCTTCCGGTGCTCCGTACATTGAAATCAGTTTTGATGCTAGGTCAACCCGACTCAGACCCTCCAGTTCCCCTCGGGCCAGATGAAACTGGGTCATGTCCCGTAAGTGGAACTTCAGCATCTTGAAACTGTTCTCCTCAAGGTCCTTCAAGGCCCAGAGCAATGCCTCCTGGGGACTGTTGGCTCGTGCCATGGTGGTCAGAGGTCAGCCAGCCTCCTGGAAGTGAGAAGTAGTGAGACAGTGCTGAGTGGAGAGCAGCTGGAGACTCCTCACCCACCCTGCCCTCTGGGGGCTTGGCAGTCTGAGAAGCAGAGGTCCAGGGGAGACCAGATATGTGCAGAGCTCTGAGGAAGGCAAGTGGGTGAGACAGCAGGGGACATTGTCTAAACATCCCTGCTCTATCAGATAGCATGTGTGACTGTGGGAGTAACTAGAAACTTCCTCCCCCTCTCCCTCTGTCCCTCTCTCCCTCCCTTCCTCCCTCCCTCCCTTCTTTCCTTCTTGTAGATATGTTTTTGTGCATGTGTGACAGGGTCTCATGTTTCCCAGGCCAACCGCAAACTCTTCTTGTGGCTGAGAATGACCTTAAACTTCTGATCCTCCTACCTCTACCTTTTGAGTGCTGTGATTACTGCCAAGTAGAACTACACCTGGATTTGTGGGATGAAGGGAATTGAACCTAGGGGTTCCTGTGTGTTAGGTAAGCACTCTACCAACTAAGCAATATCCCCAGATGCCCATCAGCACTCTTAAACTCGACTCAACTTAGCATTAAGAAAAAAATGTTTGAGTATTTTTAATTTCAAAAGTGAGCCTGCCCTTGATTGTGATTGATCCCAGAACTTGTGCATTATCTGCTGAGACAGGGAGAAAGGAAATCTCCATCCTCAGTCCACTGCTTCCCACAGCAGCATCATGAGCTCAGACTCTCATGGGGTCCAAAACTGGTCTCCAGGTAAGGAGTCAAGATGAGGCTAAGAAGGGAACAGACACTTTTAGTGATAAAGTTGGGCCTAATGACTTCTTGATCTTAGCATCTACTAAAGGGAAGGAGAATAGCAGTGGCTAGTAGGAAGCTTTCAGAATCCAGGAGATAATTGTTATCCAAAGTTGTGAGGGTCCACTGTGGAAGTATGATGTCTGGAAATGCTCAAAAAAGTCATTGTAATGGACTTGGTAAGACTCAAATATCAGTATTTTGACTGAATATCAAAGAAAGGAATAAACCTCTCAGAAACATGTCAGGACACAGGGATACTGGGGATTCCCTATGAAGCTGATTCTGGGGAAGCTAATTCCAGAAGGACAAGAAGACAACAGCAGAACACTGGACCAGTCAAGCTCAGACTTGAGGAGCTGGAGGTGGGAGGATGACTCAGCTCCCTGGCAAGAGAACAAAAAGCTATCTGTCCAGAAGAGATGCAACAGGTCCATTTTCAGCTTTGCAGGCCAACCCTGGATCCTCTTATCCAAAACCCACCAGTTAATTATTATCCGGTGGGGTAAGAATTCAAAGTAAAGGTGTGAATTCTCAGACACATAGGCCTGGCTCGGAGGAGGGCTGGAACCATGAAGGACCTCAGTGAGTAGGGAAGCAGAGATATCCACACATCAGATATGTTAGTTGGCATGAGCAATTGTTCACCAGATGAAAACTTGACCCCTTGGGAGGCAGAGGCAAGTGAATCTCTGAATTCTAGGCCAGCCTGGTCTACACAGTGAGTTCCAGGACAGTCAGGATGACACTGAGAAAACCTGCCTCAAAAAAAAAAAAAAAAATGACCTCATTTTTCAGACCCATTAAACTTGGTAAACAAGGGAGGGACCAAAGGCATGAATTATTGTATTGCCAAAGGAAAGACAAAACAGAAGATGCTCCACACCCATCCCTGAAACCACTGGTCCTCTTTACAATTTGACCCTGGTCCAGACCGGGGCAGTGTGACAAAGCAAGTGGAGCATTGTCATTGTCACTGTACCATTTCTTCAAACTGGTGAAGCCACTGCAGGTTGTGCTCTGACCAAATGCAGAGGGGGGGGGGGGGGGGGGGCCAAGCAGGAGTTCTGTGAAATATAGATACAAACACGTTTCTAAATGTGCCTAAAAGGCAGCTGGTCAGCTAGCCTAGAGAGCAGGGACTCCACTAAATCTCTCTAAATTTGGAGCAGTTTCTCCAAAAGATTGCCTTCAAGATGAAAAGAACAACGGATTGGTAATTCAACTGATGCCTTTGTCTTTCTGAAAAAGCTATGGAGAGACAGCCAAAGGTGCTGACAATCAACAGTAAATTACCAGAAAACTAAAAATGAAAGTAAAATAAATATTTTAGGAGCAACAAAAGAATAAGACATAAAACATAGTAAACTAAAACACTCAGGTGAATAATATTTGCATACAAATAATAGCATAACCACTTAATAACTAAGATTTATAATATAACCACAATGAAAGGATGGTGGCAGAGAGGCTGGTAAGATGACTCCCTGACTGGGAGCTCTGGCTGCTCCTCCAGAGAACCTGGATTCAATTCCTGGCACTACATGGCAGCTCACAGCCATCTATAACTCCAGTCCCAGGGAATCCAATATCCTTTTCTGGCCTCTGAGGGCATCAGGCATGCACATGGTGCAAAGACATACATTCAGGCAAAACACCCATACACAGGAAATATTTTTTTAATTAGAAAGGATGGTAATGGAATGATTAGGATAAAAGGTCAATGCCTAAGCCTTGAGTCAAAAAGCAGTTGTATTGTGCGTACTGTACTGTTTAGAAGTACAAAGATGCAATGGGGCTAGAGAGATGGTTCGGTGTATTAGAGCACTGTCTGTGTAAGCATGGCACCTGAATAGCAAGCATGAGGACTTGATTCATATTCTGCCACCCACATAAGACCAGTGAGGGTGGGTGCATGAGAATGGCTGAGGTGTATTGCCCCCAGTCTAGCTCCAAGCTCAGTGAAAGTCCCTGTCTCAAAGGAACACGGTAGAGAGAGAGTTATAGAACAGGATACCTGACATCCTCTGGCCTGTGCATACACAAAGGACACACTCCCACACGTATACACATACAACAAATGCACAATAATTTGTATGTGTGTGTGTGTGTGTGTGTGTGTGTGTGTGTACACGCGCGCGCGTGCGTGTGCGTGTGCATGCATATGTACAAAGACATAAGAAAGTTAAAAATCTAAAGTAGTTGCCTTGGGCAAAAGGGCTGGTGATGGTGAGATGAAGACTGTTTGAGGACACAGACTATGTAATGGGTGGAATTTCTGATACATGCACATGCATCACTGAGCTAAAACAATAGGGAAAAGACAGGCGGCCAAGAAGTAGAGGGATTGTGTGTAGAGAAGTCTCAGGAAACTTGGCTGCAAAAGGACTCTGCAAAGTGATGGGGACGTACTAGACCAAGAGAAGGTCTTTGTCTTCACATGGAAGGGGGCATTTTTAAATGCCAGCAACAAGCATCCAAAGGAGGTATCAGGCTAGTAATCTCAAACTGGGGAGGGGTGAGAACAAGGTCTGGATTAGGACCCAAGCCTCTCAATGAGAAAGGCTGTGGGAAGGAGAAGCAGCTGCATGGGTTTCATGGTCAGAAGGTGAGAGTGAGCCTGTCTGACAAAGCTATGTTCTATATGATGTACGGCTAACAGGATCTCCAAAGAGCTTGAAGGCAGTGGTGGTAGGAGGGGTGGGGAACCAGGAGGTGAACACTGCCAGCCCTCTCACCTGTTCACCTTTTTCTCTTCTCCAAGCCCCAAGTCACAGCGCTCGGTCAGTACTCCCTGGAGTTCAGGGGAAACAGCAGGAATGGGAATTGATTTGCCCAAAGCCTTAGCCAAGATCAGGCTAGAAACAGAAACCACAGCACCAGAGATTAAGACCAAGATGAGAAAAATAAAAGAACAAGATATGACCGTCTAGATAGGATGACAAAGAGCAGAGGCCACTTACTGCACCAACGCCAGGTCTAAGTCACTGGGCCAGATTCATAGCAACACCCTAGTATTTATAGAAACAGGAACCGAGTTTAATTGGAAGGGTGGAGGCAACAGATGAAATCATGTTAACTCTGTCCTGGCTAGAGGCAGAGATGACAACTAGAGAAACTGGGTCCCCAAAAGAAAGAAAATTAAAATGGGGGAAGCAGGACCAAGGATAGAAAGATAGAAACAAAGATAGAAAAAGTGAGAGAGAACAGATAAAGGGAGACATAAGACACATAAACTGAGCAGAAAAAAATGGGGTAGAGAGACAAGAGCAGGGATCTGGCTAGAACACACACACACACACACACACACACACACACACACTCACACACATATATTTTTCCTTTCAATACCTGAAATGGGATGGGCTAGATAAAGAGACTATAGACCCACTTTCATATGACTCCCTGGTAGAGATAATATGGTGTTGTGTTGTGTTGTGTTGTGTTTCATTTTGTTTTTTCAGACATTGAAGGGACCAGCTCCCCATTTCGGCAGCCATAACAGCTGAACATGTGCTTGCATTGGTCACTAGGAGGTCAGATGCCTGTCCCCTTTTGGCAGCCATGACAGTAACACATGCTTGCACTGACCTTGCCTTGGTCACTAGGAGGTCAGATGCCTGCCTCATGGCAAGGAACCAATCAGAAGATAGCTG